TTTCCTTTGAATGAAATGTCTCAACGGGGGCAGGACTGAGGGACACCTGGCGGATTTACTGAGATGCCACAGACTCAGAGCGACGCCCCAGAGGGGCCTCAGCTAAACTCCCAGCGGCCTCTGTTCTTCCTGCTCACAGGGCTGAGGACTCCGACCAGAGTGCTCCTGTTGACCCCAAAACAGAAGCAAGACCTATTTTCAGGTTATAGCCCATCGAAGGCTCCCAGAGCTCCGGCCCTGCTGCCTTAAGCCATGGAGATTTGTAAGGCAGTGAACCTCATTTATAAAAATCTCCCAAACAGGCTCAATGAGTAAACTCAGCCTCAACCCAGGGAAGACTATGGTTACCACAGAGTTCCGACTGGACAATGGCCAGATGCTAACCCTTCTCACCCTCAGGCGTCAACTGGTAAGATTCCCCTTTCCTATAGCCCCTTTGTGTGCTACAAAAACACATGCGGAAAAGTCAGGTGCAAAGCTGGCGAAACTCAGGGGTGAAGCATGTAGGAACACAGGTCTGACACTCTTCTGTCACCCACTCACCTCCTTGGTTCTACAAATCCCCTCCCAGGTCCCAGTCTTCCTGAGTCCCCACATTCAAATAGTGGTCTGCAGAGCACAGTCCCCCACATTGCACTCAGCCTCACAACAGCCCTGGCAGCAAGTATCATCAGCACCAGTGTGACAGGGAAGGCAGAGGCTCCGAGACGTGCCAATAGTGCTACCCACAGACGGTGCAGGGAGTCTGGAACCTGCTCCCCCGACAGCAAATCCCACAGCGTTTTCAGTCTTTTGCCCCAAACTGTGGGTGAGGTAAAGCAAAACCAAAAAAGGAAGACCAAGCATTTCAAGTGATCCTGCTTTTTTCTCTTTTTTTGCAGTGGAATTTTTCCTGGGCAACTGAAGCTTTGAAGTGGCTGATCATTACAGTAACGACAGATATTTGAAAGTGAGACTCAGTTGGATTTAAGGAAACACAGGTAAAGAGACAAGATAGAACAGTCATGAATAATGACAGGTAAAAAGTAATAATAAGTTAAGGGGGTGGGGGGGAGGTTTGCCCCAACTGTTTACCTAGCACTCACCTTTGTCCTGAAACATCCCACCTCCATGCCCGGCTCCTGGTTAATAAACATAATTGGGTCAATGTCCCTTGAACTGTATAATCTGTTCCACCAAAAACAAACCCACAGTTTGTCTGCAAGCCACTTTAAGTCCCTAAGTCCCGGGTTACATTCTGTCTATGGAAAACAGCTGTGGCCAAGTAAATCATCCTACTCTGAAAAAGACCAGAGTCTATTTTTTTCTCTCTCTCTAAGTGTGTTTTGAAGTCCTGGTTGGGAAATTAGTGAAAATTGTAAATCTGTTTGCAAATCTGGTCATGTCTAACTCCGAGATTAGGGCAGAGATTCCAATTTCAAAGTGAAACCGTGACAACTCCAGTTAAGCGTGTCCTCGGGCACCGCCAGCAGGGCCTTCACTCACCCTCGCAGGAGCTGGATTTATTACAGGCACCCGGCTCGCTCCCCATCAGACACCCCCGAGTATTTACTTGAGACAGCAGGGCTCGGCCTGCACTTCCTCTGCAGACCAATATATTATTATAAATTGAGCTAAACTGTTTCCTTTTCATAAGTGCTATGAAGTTCAGATTTCAGATATCAACACAGGGCTGAGGTCCCTCCACGGGGCTCCTGATAGTACTTGGATTTGCAAAAGGGAGCATTCGACCACTGTTGCTTTTTTTGTTTGTTTGGTTGGTTTTGTTTAAGAGAAGATGGAGGATTCCCTTTAGAAATCCTATATGACATCTTAGTAAGAAAATATATTCTAGATGCAAACCTTGGGTCCATTGAGCTGTGCCTGGCCCAGGTCAGGAGGGTACCAGCCATCTCACCCATGTCTGAAGGCAGGAGTTGGGAAATCAGGATTAGACATTGTGTTTGAGCTATGGGACCCTATAAAATAACACTCACTCCTTCTGTTCATCACCTACAATAGCGAAAGGGACCAATGTATATTTTAAAATGTATATGCATTGTAACACATCAGTCAAAAGGACAATGGAAGTATTTAATATTTTCACTATTAACCTACTTCTGAGGCAAGAAAAAGACACATAACTTTAAAAAGAAATGGAAAAGAAAGAAGCAAGGCCCACTGTCGTCACCTTCGTTTGTTCCCTTCCTGAGCAATTTAGTCCTAAAGCCTTTGAGGCACGGGCACCATGCTGCGGGGAGGGAGAGGAGGGCACAGAAGCCCGGAGCAGGGGTGAGCACCCGAGTGGGGAGGAGGGACAGCCCCGCACGCAGTGGCAGAGCGCAAGTGGGATAAAATGACAAGTTTCAGTCTATGCTTCTCACTAGCTGTGTAAACACTGCTAAGTAAATACATCAACCTAACCTTAATTTTTTATTATTTATTTATTTATTTTTGCCATATAGGTAAGGTCTACTTCTTAGGATTACTGAGAGGACTGAAAGAATGCCTGACTTGGTATTAGTCCCCAGTAACTGTGGTTGTTACTCATATACTACTAATCATTCCAGGCATACATATGTATAGAAAAAAGACTAAAATGAAATATACTGAAACAGGCATCAACCTGGTCTTCTTTCATCACGCACTTTCCAGAGTTTCTTTTCTCTAGAATGAGAATAGATTACTTTTCAATCAGAAAAGAATACATGAGATGTTAATAAATAAATGGAAGATGGCTGAACTTTCACAATGTGTATTTACTACTTTCATAAACAGAAAATTAATAAAGCTATTAAAATGGCACTGTTCTGACTCTCATTTCTTTTAAGGATGCAAATCGCTAATAGAAATCCTGAACAAAGTATCCCAAGGAAAGCAGTTTATTGGCTGAAATGAACACTTACTTATACTCAAGATAAATATCCATATCTGGGAAGTACATTAAAAAATGAAATAGTAAGCTGTTTTACCTACAAATGAGACTCATCGATGGGGTAGAGATTTCAGAATAGAAACTTCATTCCTGAGGCAAGCAGAGGAGAGGCAGAGGAAGATAGGACCTTAACCCTAAAAACACGCCCACATAGAGATTTTAGTGTATAGGTTAAAGTCTAAATGGTCCATCTTAGAGTAGATAAAGCACTGTACAGATGCTCCTCAACTTATGATGGGGTCACATTCAGACAAACTTGTTTACGTTGAAAGGACTGTAAGTTGAAAATGCATTTAATGCACCTAACCTACTGAACACCACAGCTCAGCCCAGCTCACCTTGAAGGTACCCAGAACACTTACATTAGCCTCCCGTTGGGCAAAATCACCTGTTGCCCAGCATCTTGAGAGAGTATAGTACTGCATATCACTAGCCAGGGGAAAGATCAAAACTCAAAATTCAAAATTCCAAGTATGGTTTCTACTGAAAGTTTATTGCTTTCGCACCATCATAAAGCCAAAAAATCGTAAGTCGAACAATCGTAAGTCGGGGGGTAGCTGTATATGAAACCTGAAACCTATTCTGGTCCCTGATCTGCCTCCTAGTAACTGAGTGACCTTAGACAAATTACTTAAGAGAAAAACAATCCCTGCACTGTCCCCCTCACAGGGTTGTCTGGAGACTGCATGAGACTGCTTAGGTGAAACTGATTTGTAAACTGTAAAGCGACGTGCCAATGGAAGGCAAGAGATTTGGCGCTTACTTAGATCCGTGTTCAACAAATGCAGGAATCAGCCCAGGAGGAGAATTTAAGAGGTAAAGGGACACAGCATTAAGTACCAGGGACTCCCACTGTGAGAAGGACATTCCCTACAAAATGATCTTCCCATCTTCCTGCTGACATCAAGGAGAGGGTCTCCAGGAGGTGCCATTACACAGCTAACTCCTCTCTAACAGTCATAATCTCTCTTCTTAAGACAGAACAGGATTCAGACTCAGGGTCTTCAGCAAAAAAAAAAAAAAAAAAAAAAAAAAAAAGAAGAAAGTGGCAGACACAATACTGTTTTAGTTTATAGATTCATAAAACTTTCTAATTACGCCAAATGATACTGGCTTTCCATTTAAAATAGTAAAATATAATCTCCCACTAAAATAAATTCCATTTTTAAAAAGTGAGCTAATTTAGAGAGAAATATTAAATAAGTGATGGTAAGGTAGTGCATAGATATGGCAAGAACCTCGGAGCTGGTGTGCAAATGACAAATTTGGAAAATACTTAACGAGGTAACGGCCTAAAGAGCTATTGCAACATCCGAATTCCTAGAAGGCAAGGACCAAGGTTTGTCCAACTCCAGGATCCCCTCCAGACCTGATGTAGCAGGTAGAACCCAGGGGGCAACAATCTGGTCATAAACTCTGGGTGAGAGCACGGTGCTTCCCGGCTCTAACACCGGCACATGAGCGGATCCCCCAGCAGGTGAGAGCGTGAAACCCGGAGTACGCAGCAGCTGCGGCCAGGGGACAGCAAACCTCGAGCAGTTCTAGGAGTAAAACAGGGTACTGCCTGTCGGGAAACAAGTAGAACACCCGAAACCAAACCACGAAAGTCAGAGCAAAGGAGCACAACAAAGCTCCCCGCACTGCGCGGCTTCGGTTCGCGAACCTCGCTCACAACTGCTTCGGGAAGCGCTGAGGGGCGAGTGCGGAGAAAGGCCTCGCTGGCGGGGCAGCGCTTCCCGAGGAGACGCCAACTCCAAAGCTGGGGGGAAAACGTTCTCACTAAGAACTTCTACAGAGAGAGAAATATTTTTCAAACTTCACAGGGATAAGTTGACTTAGGTGATTTAGTGGCTTTAAGACTCCTGAAAAGTGTTTAGAACATTTGTGGGAACTCCAGAAACACTGAGAATGAAAAGTAACTTTTAAAAATTAGCAGTATCTCATAAAACAAACAAACTAGTTACATGTGTAAGTTTCGTTATCACTACAAAATATGTGAAATGCAAAAGATATATTCAAAATATGTACCAAATAATGTAAAACTTAGGCCCTGGAGCATCAGCATGGTCCCGAGCCCCCTAATTACCAAGCATGAAGTAGCAGTCTCCCTGGTGAAGGGGTATCGCCAAGCCAGGTGTCTCTATGTCCCAGGAGATCTTGAAACCAACGTGCCAAACATCGGGATCTCTGCCTTCGAGTGGAGGGTCATCCTCACTCTCCTCGTCGGGGTCTGTGGAGAGACGAGAGGTATCAGAAAGGAAATGTTTCCTCCAGAGTTCTGGGTACTATGATAGTTATCTCAGGAATAACTGAAGTGTTAATAAAAATATCTTCCTTTTATGTCATATTTTTTTAAAAAAACACATTCTTTAGAATGTTCTTAACATGTCATTTATTTTTTAATCAAAATATTTTAACACAGTGAGGAAATGGCCACAGATATCAAGGGGGAAAAAGAGATTATTTTGTTAAATTCCATGCAAATAAATTAGAAAAATCTAGATTAAATGGTTAGCTCTTAGGAATTAATTAATAATAAAATCCACCCCAGAAGAGATGCAAGAGCTAAACAAGACACAGAAGATACAGAGGAAGCTGTCAAAGTACTATCTTTCAGGAAAACACAGGCCTAGAGAATCACAAAGGAGAAACTACCAAACAATTATGGAGTGATTTCAATACACTTGAAATTGTCGAAGAACATAAAAAGAAAAAAGTTTCCAAATCTTTCATGCAGACATCAAAATCCAAAAAGAAAACACACACACACACACACAACCAGACTCACATCTGAAAATCAATGCAAAATTCCTAAATAAAAAAACCCCAGAATTCAAATCCAGCATCATATTAAAATAATAATGGTCCACACGGAAGGAGAACTCATTTCAGGAATACAAGCATAGTTCAATATGCAAAGACTTATACCTAAAATTTATCATATTCATAAATTTTAAAAAATCATGAGTTACCAGTGGTACACAAAAGTACTCAATAAAACTTATCTTTTCATAATGAAAACCTCAATAAAATAGAGGTAGGTGGCTAGTTCCTGAACATGATAAAATACAGATCTGCTCAACCCCAAAGCCAGCATCATATTTTAACAGGGAAACATTAGAAACGTCCTCAAAGTTAGGAATTAGAAAACAATGTCCTTTTTATCACCACACGGCTCATCATTACTCTGGAAGGAATGGCCCACACCATGGTGCCCTCTGGAGTGGCATAACAGGGGAGCCCTACACAGACAGGAAAAGAGGTAAAATATGTTTTAATAAGAAAAATATTCTTTTGCAAATGATATGATTACTTATCTGCAAATCAAACAGGAAAAATATATCCCAAGCAACAGGCAAATTAAGAAAATGCTAGCTTCAAACGTGTGCATATATAAATATCTAGTAAGATTCTTATGCGTGAACTGTCTATATGAAGAAAAACTTTAAGATATTATTAGAGGAAACAAAAGAATATTTAAACAAATGTAATGACCTATTATTTTCTTGGGAAACAAGACTGAACATCATGGGAATGTCAGTTCTCCCTAAATTCATCCATAATGACAGAGGTGAGTGGGGCTGGTAACTAGGCAAGCTGATGACACAGTTCACAAGAAAACATAAATAAGCCAGAACCACCAGCTCTCTGCACATCTATAGGAGGAGCACAATATTCAAATAGGATAATAGGTAAAAGTTATGAAGGTAAAACACGTAAAAGGAGATAAAATGAGTTTGTAAACATAAAAAAGATATCCAAACTTATTCCTGTAAGTTCAAACTAAAGCTACAGTAGGTATTTTTCACCTATCAAATCGGGAAATATCAAACACTTTGATAAAATATGGTGTTAGCAAAATGGCATACCATAATCTCTGTAGAGGACAATTTGGCAATACCTATCAAAATTAAAACGCAGAAACCCTTTGAACTTGGAGGAGTTCCACAGTTCCACTCTTATGAATATGTGCTAAAATTTCTACTTGATGAGGCTGCAAAACGGCTTTTGAACAAGGACATATATTGTAGCTGTGTTTATAAGAGCAAAAGATCAGAAATAACCTAAATATCCATCAATAAATCTCTGTCCCTCTGTGGTCAAATCAACTCTTAACTCCTTAACTTTAAAAAAGGTGATTTTAAGCTGCAAAGAAAATGATTTTCAGGCAGTTTTAACACTACAGTGTAAGGTTATTCCAATAAGTGGTCATCTTGATAGGCTCACAGGCTGCTTGGCTACTTTCCCCTCTAACTTTCATCCTAAACACTCTTCTCAATGTGGCACCAATAAAGTCTTGAAGGACAAACAGAGACAGTAATTGCAATCAGTGTTTCCCGATGTTTTCCATAAATCCAGCACCTTTGAAATGTGCTCATTAAAATAATGTTCTGCTGAAGCTTTGTTCCCCCTTTGGGCTGGGTCAGGAGGAGGGAAGCTGTAGGTTTGATCAATTTTTTATTGCATAACCAGAGTGTTGCTCACTTTCTCAATAAAATCCACTTGTAATTATCTATAGCAAGTACAAGCGATTCCTCTTGCCCCGTGTTATTTTGGAAACGAGCAGAAGCAACAGACTCTTACTTGCCTTAAAGCCTCCATAACACTGAAAAGCTTTTAAGTGTCTCAGTGTGTCTGGTGCACTCCCAGCTCCGGCTAAGCAAAATGTTACAGAGGTCAAAGACGTACCAAAATTCAAAAAGCGAAGTTTAAATATAAGTTTCTAATGTCTAACACTCCTTCTCCTCCCAATTAACCAATTTGATTTTTTATGCTACATAGTTTTTAGAAAAAATTAGTTCCACTTAATAAAAAATAAATGGCATCAAATATGTTGTTTACATTTTTATAGCTACATGTAACCACTGTTACAGAGGAAACAAAGGCCTAAGCATGAAGGAAGAGGTGACAGTTCTAATCAAAACATATCCCTTGGATTTTCCTTCCATATTTAATAATACACACCATTAATATTGTGTCAATAATTTCCCTGATATGTAAGTATATATTCATCATCACCACACATTAAAAAATAGCCCTATTTCTTTAGCCAAGTGCTAAGATTTCTAAGACTCTGGTCCTACAAATTACTTTCTCTGCTCCCTGAACCCCACCCCAGAGAGGACTGAGTAGCAGCAGGCCCCTTCCTGTCCACGTCACAGATCTTATGGCAGGAGAGATCCAGAAGTTGCAGGTGGTCAGCTGGCATATGAAGCCTAATGATGCTTTCTCTGCCCAGAGTTCATCTGTGATATTCCAGTGTCTGGGACGGGGACTCTGTTGGGGTTTTTTATTTTATTTATTTTTTAATTTAAGTATAATTGATATACAATATCATACTGGTTATATTGGTTTCAGGTTTACAATAGAGTCATTTGACATTTTTATACCTTCAATTGTGATCACCCCACTAATTCTAGTAATCATCCATCACCGTGGACACTTATCACAATATTACTGACTACAGTCCCCTGCCCCTTTTCACCTGGCCCCCACCCTTTCCCTTCTGGTAACCATCCCTCTGGTTTCTGTTTCTATAAGTCTGTTTTTGTTTCATTGGTTTCTTTTGTTTTCAGATTCTGCGAATCTGTTTTGTAAAATGGCAGGAGACAGAAGGTGAAATGGGAAGGCGTGAGGCTGGGAAGACACACAGGATGGGAATGGCGGGTGGGTGTGTGAGAACATAATCCATGCTGAGCTGCAGGAAATCATATGCACAACCTGGATTTGCAAGAGAAGAAGCTAGAGAGACGGGTAGAGGCCAGGATGTGGAGGGCTCTGTGAACCACTTGCGGACTCTAGACTTGTGCTGAGGGCAGTGAAAGACCCAAGACTTTCCACAGATCAGAGATGCTGTTCAGAATGATCCCTCTGGAAGGTAGAAGCCCCGAGGACCAGACTTTGTTTAATTTTTCTAAACAAATTTCCAAAGTAATGGCAAATGGCATAAGCCACAGAACATGTGGGAAGCACTCCTGAAGGACTGTCCCCGGGAAAGAAAGATTGGCCAAGGAGAAGCCTCCCTGGAAGAGTTCTACAAGGTGGAGGTGCCTTCTTGTTGGGTGGGGGGACAGGAGGCAAGCTTGCAGCTGACACGGAGCAGGACACTCCTTCCCAGCCACTGAGGAATGAATGAACATCTGAGAAAATGGAGAATTCGGATAAGATGGAAGGGAAAAGGGAAACCTAATCAGCCCCAGCTCAGAATCTGTAACAAGAAGCTGCTCCCAGGTGCCTCAGAAGAAGCAATGCAGGACACACGTAGTCCCTTGACACAGATAAATTGAAAAAATTAATTAGAAGTTTTCTGGGATTTCAGGAGAAATATTGAAAACTACTTACTGAGAAACCTAAAGCCCTTCACCATGATGTCTGACTCTGTCAGCTTTCAGATTAAGCATTTGAAGAAATAAATTTTAAGATGTAAATAATTCACATGCATAGGAGAACCTCATTACATCGTGTTTCGTGGACTTGGCGGAAAAAAGAGAAAGTGAGGAAAGGAAGAAAAATTGCTCTGGGGATCTCAGCTAATGCTTCAAAACCACTACATTGTCTAAAGTAAAGTATGAAATGAGAGGAAGCATAAATACTTCTCAAACAATACTTCCTCCAAGCCAGAGCTGCTAACAGAGGCTCCAGGACCTTGGGCACCCGGGAGACCTGGGCGCCTACGGGAGAGCTGTCTGCCGTTAGCAGCACAGAAGGCAGGCCGCCCGGGGGCATCCGAGGACGCCGGTTACCTGCTCATCTAGCGCGAGGCAAAGCTTCGCCCAGAGCGCAAAGCACCTGTCTCACACCGAGCTTCTCTCCTTCCCAAAACTCCTGAAAGGAAAAGAAAGGGGGTGACCGCAAAAGCTGGGGGCAGTCACGAGAAACTGGTCGGCCTCGAGAGAGGAAAGGCCTGCTCAAGAAGAGCCACAGGGCGAAGGGGCAGGCGCTGGAAGCCGAAACGGGCGCACCTGGAACCCGTGAGACCTCCGGTATTAGGATTAAGTGAGGCAAATCCTCATCTTTGAAAATTACGACTGTTTTGGTAAGACATTTGCTATTTGAAATCAAGTCTAAGCAGAGATGATAGTTACAGAAACCAAAGAGTTATTGGCGTATGGACACAACGTACCACAAACTACTGGAAGAACAAAAAACTAACTGGGCAACAAATGCGTACTAATTTCCCATATACACAGACACAAAGGGAAAGCAAGCCACAAACCATGCCTTCAGAGA